GGTGTCTTTTACCAAATGCACCTGAGCAGAGCTCAGATAGAATGAAGACTCTGTCCTTTACTCTCTATGGAGACTATAAGCTCCAACACTTTCCTTAGGATTGGTTCTACATAAATGCAGGGCTTTATTCAGCAATCCTGCTCACTCCTTACTTGGGTAGAACTCCTACTGATGTCAATGGGAAGTATGACTTACTACAAGAACTGAGTAATGCTACAGGATGCCTACAGCTCTGAACTCATTCTTATTTGATCTTGGAAACTGAAAAATCCAGGGTCTGGTTAATTCTTGGATGGGACACAAGTCAAGAATTGTGGCTGGACATTTGAAACCCCACATGTAGAGAGACCTAAGTCAGTCCCATGACTGCTGACAGAGTGGAATATTAAAAGAAATAATGCTGGATTGGTCTCTTACATTATAAAGCCATTGCACTGCAAAACTTGTTTGCTTATTCTGAATATTTGCTATTTCTAAAAGCAGAGTTTTACCTGAAGCTGCCTGGCTGACATCTTCATCCTCTCTGAGTCACTGTGTTTTTGCACTTAAAATTTACTTAAGCCTAGAAGATTCCTTCCAAATTCACCAAGTGTTTCAAAATATTTTAAAAGGACACTGGAAAATGGCAATGTGTTTCCAGTCACCCATTACTGAGCCAGACACTCTAGCACTGGGAGACACCCAGCAGAGTCTGTGTTAAAAATTGAAATAATTATGTTCAAGGAACAGCAGGACAATATTATCCAGAATAATAATTATGAACAATCAGATTTCACAATCCTTTCTTCCTAAATAGTCCCATTGGATTCACTGTGAGTGCTTGTAGACTGAGAATGTTGCATAAAGAATGGTACAATTCAGTCCTGAATGAACTGGATGCTGTTTTCTGCTGTGTGTTTAAACATGTATGTAGTATGACTACAGAATATATGATGACTATAACCCATGGCTAGAAGATTTAAATCCATAGTTAATTTTCTGCTTTACTACATGAAATGGTTTGGAACAGGCACACACATTACCACATAGGCAGCAACTGTGGTGTTAACAAGCATTTATATTCTGCCTGGCAATTGCCCCATGTGTGACTGCAAGTAAAGAAGGATTACATTTACACAGCTCTCTGTTGTGTAAACTTGACATTTCCAGGTCAGGGCACAGACATGCGCAGATGTGCTGACAAAACCTTGTCCCAGAATGCTTCTGTTTTTTCTGTTAAAGAAGGCACCCATAATAGCTACTCTATCTGTTTGGGCAAGAACAAACGTGAGAACAGAAAATGTTTACTCCAATAGCTATTTTGATTTCAGGTCTTCTGATGTACATGTACCAGACAGCCAGAATTTGGCTCTGGGGGTATTTACATGACTCTGTTATGACATAGTGGCTTTCCCAAAATATTTTTTCCTGTTGACTTTATGGACAGAAGTAATCCTTGGAACACTAATAGATGTGGATTTATAAAACCAGAGACAATCATTCTGTGTTAGTTGGACCTCACCTCCATGCCCTCAAGTCCAATCTGCTCTGAACCAGTTAATTAATGAATATGTTCTAAAGACTGAGACCTGGGATTCTGCAGCTGGGTCCATTCAGGTGGCCCATGATGCTGGCAGTGAGTCCTGTCAAAGTCAACGGGGCTCTGTGCCAAGGCAGGGATGTACCCAAGCCAAATTGCAGGATGGGGCTCTAGCTCCAAGTGATATATTATGCTTGCTCAGAGATCCATTTGACTGCTCAAACCAAGTCACTTAAACCAAATGGATGGAAAATTCTTGGAAGAAAATTAAAGGAAATGACTGGCTGCTGTCTCCTTATTGCTGTAAATCAATACTCACTTTGTCAGTAATGACTCCTTCCTGGGCAGTTGTTTTCTTTATTTGTTTTCTGTTTGCCTTCTTGATGTGTTGATTTTGGAACTTTCTATTTATTGTGTAGTTCAAATATATCGTAGAGATATGCTTTACAAGACCAAAACAATGAGTCAGCATTTGTAAATCCTATTATCAGTGCCTGAAAACAATAATAAAAGTTTGCTTATTTTAAAGGAGGACTAAGTTTGGAAAGAGGAAGAACTATAAAAGAACTAGAAGAGAAAAGGCCAGGTGGACAATCCTTGTAACCCTGCCATAGACTACAAGAATAAAATGCCACTTGATAGAATTAAAATGCAAAACATAATTAATGAAGCTGAAAAGAAGTATTTTGCAAGTACTTTGAATTCCTAGTTGTGGAATTTAACAGTATCCTGTAAAATTGCTTACTCAGATGTGAAAAAAGTTTGGAGATATGAACAAAAACAGTACCTACATGTAGGTTAGCCTAGATAACTGTTGCAAAAGAAATCTGTCCTCTTGCTCCCAGCAACACAATGTGCAGTGTCTAGGATCAAAAAGAAATGTGCTCCATGGTGGTACTAATGTGTATATGTAATTTAGAGGTTTCCATCCTCCTGTGAAACATCTGGGCCAGACTACTTTCAGAGCCAGGATACAATAATAAATGGAAAAAGACTACAAAAAATTGGCAAGGAAATTGCTTTATTCCCAAGCAGTCAATTTTACACTGTCCTTATCTTGGCAGGGTTGAGACACTGTAGGAGTCCATTATGACCCAGCACAGCTTCTTCTTTGTCCAATAAGCCTCTTAAAATAGGATCACTAAGGAAGAAAAATGACAAAGACTGAAAAGGGAGAAAAAAAGTCAGACAGGTAGCAAGGAATAAAACATGGATAAGCAAAAATGCTTTTTGTCTGAGGGTCTGAAAGCTGTTTATAAACTTGAATAACTAAGCCCAGCAAGTAGGTGTTATAATCCCCATTTTATAAGTGGAGAATCTGAAGCATCAAGGAACTTGGTGACTTGGCTAAGGCCACAGGGAAAATTAGTGTCATCATCGAGTTTACATTTCAGGAGTTCTCACCTCTCAGTCCTGTATTTAGACCACTGGATCATTATTTTTTCTACTAGTCCATTGTTCTGCAAATGAACATTGGGTGAACAATACGAAGTTTGCCTGTATAGATAAAGACTGAGGACAACATTTTGAGAGTGCCTAAGAATGACTTGGGATCCTAAATTCCAGTTTAAAAAATGACTTAGGCACTTTGAAGCTGAAGCCTCATCACAGTCATAATGGACACATACTGGTAAATGGCCAAGCTATTTTCCAAATAATTGTTTTTTTTGCTTCAGAAGCCACAACAAAATATGGGAAAATTGGTTTGGGTCAAACTGAGATAATTTGGGATTTTTCTCCCCTCATTGGCACAACTCCCCCCCCTCCAATTCTGTTGTTTCAAACCAAATGTTCTTTGCCACCCAAGCTAAGGCATTTAATTTTTGGACCCTTGTGAGAAAAAGTGAAGGAAATGAAGGGTCACATTTAGTAAATTGATGATAGTACTGTCATTCCTTTAAAGCAATAATTCAATAGGGTTAAGACACCTGGGCTGGATGTGAGAGACGAAGGTAATCACTACATTGCCTGAAGGATTTGACCTCATATCTTCCACTTGCAAAAAATGTGCCTGACCACCAACCTTTAGCATGTTATTGGCTGAGGCACTCTCCATGTCTCCTGATGACAGTTTTCCAGTCTGCATAAAATACTTTAAATATCAGTTGAGCCAGAGCCTGAGAGAAAGTGATTGTATAGGTGGTATGTGGGTCACTCAACTGGAAGCCGTGGTACCAGTCCCTACTCTTCTGAACCTGGCATTATTTCTGTAAAATGGAGCAGTATTAACCAGAGATAAAGAACCATTCTGCCCCAGTAAGGTTTGTAGTTGAACATGAAGGCATGCTGGGGGGCGATATGGCTTCAGATCCTTCAGCAAAAACTGCATTAGAGAAAGGTGCGTGTCAAACACACCCAGCCCCCTGGGCCAGATGTGACAGCAGGGCAAGCGGCAATGGTGTGGTACTTAGCATAGCGGTTGCTCACCCTCTTTTCCCCCCACCTACCAACATACTTGTCCCACCCCCACATTCCCAGCCCCTCCATGAGCCCCCAAGCTGGGTGAAATGACTCCACTGACTTATGGGCTGTATCTTTGATATCCCTGGTGTCTTTGATCTCCCTCCTGAATGAAAAGGAGATTGAGGGCAGTACCTCCTCCTCTCTGAATCTAGTCCTGAATGTTGTGTTTTTTTTGGCAGGTGAAGATAACTGGCAAATTCAACCTAAATTTGCGACTGTTTTCAGGGTGATGAAAAATGCATTGGGGGAAGGGGAGAGTTTGCTATTTTAGCTTTATTCCCAAACCAAAAGATACTTTTGCAGACTTTACTGGATGCAACTACCATACTTACTGAATATAGGACAACCCTCCAATACTTAGATTCTTTATATGGAAAATTTACAAATCTGTTATAATTTTCCAGGTATAGAATCTGATTATTGGAGGTCTGCCTTGAATTTGTTCCCCTCCCACTGCTAAAGCAGGGAAAATAAACCTGCAAGGGTGGTGGGGGGAAGGAATCTAGCCCTCTGCTCCCCCAATTTCTTCCCCTGCCCTGCTCCTTGCTGTCAGCTCCTGCTCTCCCTCAGGACATGGAAATGAAAAGCAAATTTGAAAGGACTGACTGAAATTACAATGATGATTGCTTACTTCATAAGCATATTGTAACGATGGCTGTGAAATACTCTCCAGTGTTAAATACAGGATAAATGCTAAATCTTATGTAACCTGGAATAAAATTTTGAATGTGATGTAACTGTTCTTATAATAAGTATATAATGAATTTATCATTAGTTTAGATTCTCTGACTCAGGATTTGCTTTTTGTTTTGTGTTTGTACAGCACCTAGTATAGTGTGGTCCTGCTCCCAGCTACTATGGCAATTCAAGCAATCAATAATATTGATAATTTCTTGTTAGTCTACCACAATAAGTCTTATAAGCTGGAGTTGGGTGAAGTATTATTTCAGATTCCCTGATACCCATTTCTATACTTTTACACTGGGATAATGGCTTTGTAAACATCAGGCATTACAGGTTTTTTGATGTTCCACTTTTATTAAATTAGGATTGATGCTGATTCACAAACTCTTAGGACTGGGCCTAAAAACTGCTGCCATCAATGCAAGGGTCTAGTCTCACAGATTTTAAAGCATTTTTCCATTGTTTTACAATTTTGCACAGACACCTAATGTCACTTTACAGTAAAACAGGACCAAAATACCAGTAGTAACTACACAATTCACTGTTTATACGTGGATAGCACATCTTGTATTGTTAAGTTCCTAACTAATTTGCTGGCAAAGATGCATGCAAGTTTCCTTCTGATGTGGAGATGAATATTTTAATAGCATCTGATAACTAAGAAACACAGTGATATGAAAGAACTTCAGCAAAATGAAGACCCCGTCACTTTCCTAAAAAATATGTAAGTGGAGCTCTATACTTTCAAAAAGGACTAATGATTTTGGGTGTCCATCATGAGACAACTCAAAAGGCCCAGATTTTTCAAAGGCAGGTGCTAAGCACTTTGTGAAAAGTAGGTTGCTCGATATAGGCACCCAAAAAGACAGGCCTCCTTCGGTCATTTTGTAAAGTTAATGTCTAGGATGGATTTAAGGGAAAGTCAATATAACATAAGTTCTTTCTGTTCCCTTATTCCTCTTCTGCTTTTTTCTCTCTAGCTTTCTTGTCTTCTCTTCATCCTTCCTGGCATTAAATGGTCCCTATACAGTTCTCTTCTGTCCCCATGTCCTCTCTTCCTCAAAAAATTCTTTGCATTCCCAGGATCCCTGCTTTTCTTCTTACCCTTTTAGTTTCCCATCTCCTGTCACTTCTCTCTTTTCCTTAGAAGTCTGTCCTCCACTAAACTCTGCAGACTCCTCCCCTCCCAGCAACCCCTTCTTTGCTGTTTTCCAGGCAGGTGTCCAGTTCCTCCCTCTTCCACAGCAGGATCTCATCAGTATCTCTTTCTCCCCCAGCGATTCTTAGGTGAAATGGTACTCTATGCAAGTAGGGGGATGGGTTGGTGAGCAAGCAAGTTGAAGCCAGATTGCTGCTGGCTTTTTCTCTTATTTTCCCTCTTGGCTCTCATGTTACCTCCAAGTTTTGCTGAGACACAGCCAGGATCACAGCAGCTACAAAGAGGAGAAATACTACCTGCTTCTGTAGCAGCAGCTCCAAGAATCCAAAGGTGCGTATTGCTCCAAAAGGAAAAAAACACAGGTCAGAGTGTCCTGACATGAGTGCCTAAAGTTGGGCATTTAAATCTGTATTAGGCACCTAAGTAAAATGCCTGTTTTTAAAGGGTAGGCCTAGTTTACAAGGAATTTTTTAAAACTGAAATCATTACAGCAGTTCAGTGTGTATAAAGCTGCTTTGTACCACTTTTAAGTATAAAGTGGAATAGCTGTAAATGGATTAAGCACTTTTATGTCTTTGTTACTTCATCCGCATGAGGGGGCATGTACCACTCTGATACAAATTTTGTATTTAGGAAAGGCCTTAGTAAAATACCACTTGCCTGATATTTCAAATTGAGGTTAAAAACTGTAAATAAACCTGAGGGGATGATCTGTTCATGCTGTCTATACAAAGACAGGGCAAGTCTTTGTATATCCAACCTCTTTTAGTTGCAATGCTCTGGTACTACAGCTGATTAGGTGCCAAGAGACAGATCTAGCATTTTATTTTACAAAAGATTATACATATTCTAGCCGGTGGTACTTGGAGTTTGCTGCAAAAAAATGATTGTTGTAGTTTTGGTAACACACAGGTGCATCTGCCCTTTGCCGGGGGTCCTCTGTAAAGGGAGATGCTGCTTTTCACCCTGGAGGAAAAAGTATATCGAAATAAAAGAGGTTAGTAAGTGTTTTGCCTGGCAGGGATTTTTTTTTTTTTTTTACACAGGTTTTTGCCTCAGAATTCTACCACATTGTATATTTATAAGGTGGCTGCATAATTCAGCAGAGTGTATCTAAATTCACTGTGGAACAGTTTACGTGGCACAGCATGGCCGCTTTGAGAGAGGAAGAAGTGGATACTAGGGATGACGTGGGATGCGAGTATCTATCTGTATATATGCCAACAATTATGAGCCAAAGAAAGTTAATTCTTAGGGGTCACTTTGTAGATAAGTGATGATCTCTAGGCAGGAAGGGAATACTAGTTCAGGAGCAGCCACAAGTCCAGCTTGAAATGCATAAAAAAGAAGCCTGCTTTAGCAGCAGCTTACACAGAACACATGAGCTCTGCCTACTCCTGGCCTAGCTTCACTTCTCTTACACAGCTTATAAACTCTGCATGCCTCTGCTTTGAAGCTCTCTTCATTAGAAAATCTACAAACTCCTCAGGAAGAAAACTCCAGGACATAGCAAGCATGCTATGCTACTACCCAGCTGGGGAAAAAACCTGAAGATGCCCAGTGATAACTATAAGGGAAGAGAGAAACCTCCCACAGCTCCCCACTACTCTTACCGCATAAACAGTAAAACAACTGAGGCAATATATCTATTGTTCTATTCCCAAATGTCATAATTGTGTGAAGTGATGTGGCTTTAAAACCTGGACGGAGAGATGAGTGAGCACCCAGACTAGCATGCTTCATAGTGGGCAAGTGGAGGAGGGAATGTTTGTGCCACACTTCTGGGGTCCCAGGGAGCAGGTGACTTGTGCTGGGAGCATTTTCATTTTTCTGCTTTTGGTTCTCTCCTAAACAGAAGTTCAGTAAGTCAGTAGCCTGAACTTGACTGAACTCTACAGTGTGCTTACCTAACCATGGGTGACCAAGGAAGAGGGGAAGTGCCTGAACCTACATTTCCATGTTCCAGGGACTGGGATGTGGTGGGAGGGCATTATGAGGAGGCATAGTTGAGTAGGGATTGAGGACACAGCTAGCTGTTAGACAGATAGCTTGTATGGAACAAGCAGTGAAAGGGAGCTCATTAATAAACAGTGCCAACAAAGGGGGGGCGGAGAAAGGGTGGTAGGGTTCCGGCTGTGTAGCAGAGTGGTCAGTTTTGGCAGCAGGGGGGTGGTTGAGGGGAAAAGTGATGCAGTGTAGGAAGCCTAGAAGACTGATTAGACATATGTCATGAATTATTTGGTGTTCATAAGTAACACTGAACCAGTTCACAGTGAATCAGTTCAAAATAGTACTTGATTTCCCAGGTACACTTTTGAACCATTCCAGGCAGCTTTAAGTTGGTTTTACAGGTCTGTACATGTGTACACCTCAGGTCTTAGCTGAACTGAAATCTGTCTAAGTGTTACATGTGTTCATAAACTGAGACCTCATCCCAAACCAGTTTCTTGCCAATGTGAAGTAAAAGGGTTACTGCAGACCTAGACCTGAGAAAACCTGTGAGGCCCTAACAAGGATGGAAATTAAAAAGAACAAGTACCTAACAACATTAATCAAAAAGGATTAATCTGCACCTCTAAGCAAGGTTATAGCTCATGATCTTGGGTGACTTACTGCAGCAGTCCTCAACACAGCCCTGGAGAGTTTTGGGACCTACTGGGCATGTCTACACAAGACGTTAAAGGCTCAGTAGACTAATTCTACTGCACAGTAGCATGGTTGGCAAAACCCATGCTAATGAATAGTAGAATTAGTCTACTGCGCATTAGTGTTAGAAAAAAAGCATGCGCTGGCGCTATTGCACAGTAGTGCCGATTATGGCACATTATGTTGTAATTACAGGTACTAAAGCTTAATGCACTGTAATTACAGCACATTAATGAATGTGTAGATGCACACAATGTCTCTTAGTATAAAAGGAAAAGGCAGCTTAGACCTCTTAAACTACTGAGATGCTATGATGAGGGGGACATATAAGTACCTACATGAATAGAATAAAATCAGACAAGGTACAAGTGCAATCAATTTAACAAGTTTTGAGTGTATTATAAAACAGTGTCACACTGTGAGGTACTAATAGTGAAAGCTACTGATTACTGGCTCTTACTTCTTATTCCTCCGTGCCTGGAGTAGTACTTAGGTTGTGAAAGTAAACTGTTCCTGTTCTGTGATGCTGGCTTCAGGCCTTCCATAGATAAATTTCTTTTCACGCTCCAAATGCCTTCCAGAGCCACTGTTAATAATTTGTTAAAATAATGCCATTAAGCACTGATTGCTTTAGCTTGGTTTCTTTTATTTTCACCTATTGTGGTATCAAAGGATTACTATAGCCTAAAAATATCTTGTATCTGCCTAGTACTGTAACTAGAATCAACAAATCTTAATAGAAACAGGTAATCACAACAAAATGTTGTAGCACCATACTTTAAACTTAATATGCTTTATTTTTCTAACGTTTTGGATTGACAGATACTGAAAGACATTATTCTCTGACAGATATGCAATTCAAAACACAATTGTTAATTTTCCCAGAAGCTTCCAAAATTATTGTGTTCAGATGGATTTATTTTTCCCAGTCATATACCTCACCATTAATGCTTAGTTCAGTTTTGGTCATACTGTCTCAAGTAAAAAATAGGAGATACAGAACAGGTCCAAGTGAAGGGCAAGGGAAATAGAAAGACTTCCACATAAGGAAAAGTTAAGTTATATGTCTATATAATTCATGGTTTAAAAAAATTACCTGGTAGAAATAAATCAAATTATGGGTGTTGTGAAGGTCCTTGGTTGGGTGATCCTTACTTAAGAACAGTGGGATCCCCCTCAATAGAATTGCAAGAAAACAAATTTGAATCTGATCAAAGAAAATGCTTATTACAAAATGTGCAGTCAGCACAACTCACTGCCACAACATTTTATTCAGATGGAGTCAGATACAAAAAAGGACTTAGGAAGAATGGAGGTGCAAAACTGTGATCCAATGTTCTCCTCACCAACCTCCATTCAGTTGCTGCCTAAATTCACTAAGGCTGCTTAGACGTGAACCTCCCGCCCCCCAGCGCTTTACTTTAAACTCGGTGCCCCCCTGCACTGAGCACAGCACATACCCAGAAGAAGCATCGTGTTAGTTTCCCCCGGCTCGCTCAATGTCTGTATACATCACGTGTTTCAGCAGGGCTTTTTGGCGTCTTCATCTAATGGCTGGTTCAACTGAATCAGCTATTAAATAAAAGTTCCAAAAAGCCCATTGAGGCATTCAGTCAATAGACACTGGGGAGTAGGGTCGAACTAATGCACTTCCTCTTCTGGTAAAGTGCTCTTTTGTGTGTTTTTTTTCACGTCTGTCAGCAGCCAGAGTGCTTCCCTGTATTTGGCTTGAAAATTGCAGAGGCACATATAAGCCCATACCTGCAGCTTTGCTTTAGTTCAAAACTGTTGTGGCAGAGCAGCTAGACACCTAGCTCCCACCTCAGCCCTACTAGGATCCAAAAACTAGACAGCAACTAAGTTCCTTGAGGGCCCTCCACATGCTTGTAGCACATCTACACACCAATAGGATTGGGCCCCTTAAAAAGGCTATTGTAGCTGCTTGCTTCTGATCTGGCAGAGAGTGGTGCCAACTTTTGAAAAACAGTCTAATGATTAGAAAATCAACCCAGGAAGGGTAAGACCTGAGCTCAGTGCCTTCTTCACATTGAGGGGGTTCAAATCTGTATTTCCTACCTGCCAGGAGAGTGCCTGTAGTGGGACAGGCCCACAGGGGGACCATGGCACCCCTTGGTGGTGAAAACAATCTTGCATCATGCTAACTCCTCAGGGTAACCTCCTCGTTGCCCTTCCTGCCATGTCTTGATGGAAACTGTATTTTCTGTTGGGACACTGTTCCTGAAAATCACCGAGTACGCTCACTGGATCTGCTCTTGGCCTATCTTAACCTGATTTGCTGGCCCCCTCAGTCCTAGTCACAGCAACGGACCCAAAATCCACAACCCCACACTGCATGCTGTTGACATCTATGTCTCACTAACTGACCAGGCCCTGCTAGCCTATCAGTTCCTGTGGGCACTAACTCCTTAGGTGCATTAATTGTGGTTTCCGGCTGCCCCTATACTCATGCCCATGTCCATTCACTGGGTCTTCTGGCCCTGTCTGTCTGTCACCTCATTCTACTTGCCAGGCCCCTGGCCCTGGCACAGGTTCGGCAGCCCATAAGGTCCCTGAACTTTACAGGGCTACTCTCTCCCTCTAGCTTTGGCCCACTGGGTCCCTGACCCTGAATGGACCGATCTCTCTGTGCGTCTCTCTCACAATGGGCCCTCAGCCCTGTTTCAGCTTCAGCCTCTGCAACCCTTCAGGTCCCTGACCCACAACCACACATAGTGCCTCCCAGGCACCCCTTATGGTCTCCAATACACCCCTATTGTCACAATCTAAACTTTAGGTTAAAATGAAACTTAAGGCATCAACCAGGTGATTTCTACAAGGTGATTTCCACCTTGAGCCCAATCCTATTACTGTGTAGATGTGGTACAAGCATAAGTAGGACACTTGAGGGACCTTGTTGCTCTCTAGTTTTTGGATCCCGGTGGGGCTGAAGTGGGAGCTAGGTGTCTAGCTGCTTGATCACGGCAGTCTGAGTAGCAAGAAGAACAAAAGTGACTCTCTAAAGGGACTGCAGGACAACTGGATTAACAGGATATTTTACTACCCTAGAAGGGTGACAGAACAGAAACTGGAAATCTGTTATCATCTTATCTGCACAGCCCAGTGATTTTTATCAAGGTAAAATCTAGTCTTTGTAATGGAGTTCAGCCAAGCAAAAGATAAGTAAAGGTTTTGAACCTGAGTCTTCAAAACAAGCCAACTGCATGTGATAGACTAACTCAGAGTAAATCAAACAAGCTACACATTTTCTGACACTCCTGAGTTCTTCAATTCAGTGGAGAAGGGCAGCATATCACAAACTCTGCATGATGGGTACAAACAGGTTACATTCCTGAACTCCTGATAGACTGCAAAAAGGAGGCTGCAGCTGCTTGTTTTCTTTTTATATTCTGTACAGGACTGAGCCCTGGAAAAATAATCATACACCAAGGATAACAAAAATATGGAGGGAGGGAAGTAACTAAGGGACAATAACACTGCAAAACTCAACCTGACCTTTCAATCACATGCCTCCTTGAGATTATGTTAGAAGGTGAAATTCCAACAGATAGCTAAAACACTTTGTTTGACATTGCCACATTCTTTATATTTCTGAGTTTAGCTTAGGAAGTTACTGAACTAAACATCTAGGTCTAGATCCTACTTTGTCTACTAGTTATTGAAGGACTTATATTCCACTCACCTCAAAAATGTGTCACTAGGTCACAAGCGTGATCCTATTCCACCTGAGCGCAGTAAATCTTTTTGTGCTCTCAATGACCACCTTGTGCACCTCCAGAGGCAGATACTGTTCTACTCATGGCAACACACTGCTCTCTCTTTTCTCAGTGGGCAGCTTTAGGTGGCTGCATCTTGTTGGAATCCATCTGGATCTTGCTTCATAAAGCAGGGAGATCAACTGAACCAGCACATCTCACAGACAACAGCACTAGCTTTTTGAAAAGTAAAGGGAGGCGGACTAGTGGTTGCAGCACTTACCCAGGAACTGGGGGACCTAGGTTACCCTGGGGCGACCTAGGCTTACCTTACCCTGATGGAGGGGTTTAAGCTACACCGTCCACTTCACAAGAAAATGCTCTAACTCTATGGTCAAGGGGTAGACAGGGCTGAAAGCATTTTTCAGCCTTCCTGTTGCAGCTGAGTCACTGAGCAGAAAGGGATATAAGACTCACAGAGCCAAAAAACAGGGCAAATTGGGGGAAAAATACCTCATCCTGGATTAGTGCAAATATGGTATTAATGGTAATACTAGTTTAGCTATCCAGGAGGTCACACTTGGAATATAACGTGTCCTCTGAAATTTCCCATAGAGGCATAATAATAAATGTCATTTTTAAAGCAAGGCTACAACTTAGTAACTACTTACATTGTGTCAAACAGTGGCTTTTCTGTCTGAGAACAAGATCTTTTACCAATACCTAACCCATCTAGAAGGTGACTATGATTCTCCAGTTATGTTTAGGGGAGGCTTCCAGGAATGACTGTAGATACATCACCTAATCAACTGTGCACTTCAGCAAATCCTGGAAGACATATTTTGGGGCTGGTTCTATTTTATCAAAGCTAACCAAGCATTCAGAATGCCCATCATGGTGACATTCCCCAGACGATAACACAGGTGGCAGCATCTATTCATGGCCAAACTGAAAGTTTCAGAACAGCTTTGATTCACTGGTAGACAAAGTGCAGCAATACAAGCCCATTTCAAGCCATAAGACATACGTTTGTAATAGACATAAATCCTGATTCAGTTTCTAGGGAAATTGTGGAATCTCCGTCATTGGAGGTGTTCAAGAAGAGGTTGGACAAGCATTGGTCAGGGATGATCTAGGAGTAGGTATGCCTATGCTCTGCTATAGATCTTTCCCATGCTTCCAGCCTTTGCTAGTTGCCACATGGGGCCCAAGGAAAGAATTTTTTCCCCTCCTGTTGCTACATGTCAGATGTTTTTTCACCTTTCTCAGAAGCATTAGATGTTGGCTACAGCCAGGACTAGAGATTTTGACTGGGGTATGCCAGCACTTCTGCTGGGACTTCAATCTGGAAGTTCTTGGTTGAGGGTCTTGCCCCTCCACTCATGGTCAAACTGATCATCATTATTTGGGATCAGGAAGGAATTTTACTTCGTAGTCAGACTGGTTCAGACTGTGGTTTATTCTGCTTTCTTCTGTAGAAGACATGGCTCTTTCCCTTGGATCTCTAGAGCTCATTTTAACAACCCGCACAGCTGCACGACATTGGCCACTGCAGTCCCTCTACTTTAGCTGTGACAAGGTAGGGTGCCATGCCTTGTGGTTGTGTCAGCATTGACTGTGTAGTTTTACTAATAGGTTAGACAATGAATTTATAGATAATGGTTTGGATATGGATGTTCCTGCCTCTTGTTGGGGGGGAGGGGAGGTTGGAGTAGATGATCTCTGCAGATCCTGTCCTGCCCTACTTTTCTGATTCCATGATTTATGCTCAGTTCTCAGTCCTGCACCACTAAATTTGGGAAAAGATTTTGTGCTGATTTATGGAGGCAGAAACAAACCTTTAATCTCCCAAAGGGAGTTAGTCTGTGTAGAT